ATATAGTAATGTCACAGGAAGAAGACTAGATTGTGATTACAACAAGTGGAACAAATCTGAAGTCATCTGTCACACAGCTATTACACAATGGTCAACCAAATCATGATGGGGTCCAGAAAACTTTTGAAAGAATGAAAATTCAATTTTACCATTAGGAATCTTTTATGAAATAGCTTCCTTGCAAGCTGTAACCCTGCTATCAAGAAAGGCATGATAGGAAACATAAGCCCTGGAATAAAAATGTATCAACCTGGAGATATATACTTCATATGCAGCTGCTACTGTAATCCTGTAACACAGAAATGAAAAGTTCCCAATTGGAAAATCAAAATCATCTCTTTTTCGAAAAGTTTAGGTCTCAAACACACTCATTACCAATTTCAAGATGTAAGTAAAGATATGAATCAGACTTAACTATATTAACTGTATCTGTGGTATGATCTGTTTATGGTTCACTTGGATAGTCACCAATCTTTTAATTATTCAGTGAAAATTTGTAAATCAATTTCATTTGGTTTAATTGTTGGGTTTTCTCTTTTTTCTGTGTTGCCTTTTTTGGCTCACCTGGCCCATAGGGCCAAGTGAGCTTTTCTCATCACTTGGCGTCCGTTGTCCTCGTCTGTTAACTTTAACAAAAATCTTCTCCTCTGAAACTACTGGGCCAAATTTAACCAAAGTTGGCCACAATCATAATTGGGGTATCTAGTTTAAAAATGTGTCCCATGACCCGGTTGGCCAACCAAGATGGACGACATGGCTTAAATAGAACATTAAAGGGTAAAATTCAAGTTTTTTCTATTTTGAAAAGGGTAATAAATAGAGAAAATCTGACAAGGGCAGAAATGTTGAGCTCTACCAATTGTTCATGCACGTCAAAACTGTCAGATGACTTCTTATAGGAATTATTGCCCTTAAATGACAAATTTTACCATTTATTTCATTTTTGCCTATTATCTTGAAAACTATAATAAATAGATAAAAACTTTAAACTGCAAAAATGATCAGCAAGACAAGATATACAATTAAGTCTGCATGGTCCAAATCGTCGATTCCTTATAGAGTTATTGCCCTTTGTTGAAGGTTGCTTTATAGATGATTTTAATATTTGTAGAGACATGGCTAAATGCTGCATCATGGAAGTTAATGGTTCATGTTGTTTGACCTCCATGGACACATAGATTATAATCAGATAATACAGGTAAGGTGTTTTTTTTTAAATTCATGTAATATATCAAGTAATTATTAGTTTCATTTAGAATTTCAGTGTTAATTACTTTCTATTCTAAATCATATGTGAGAGGATTTATTGCCAAAAACTAGCTTATATTGGAATTTATGTTTTTTTCTGTTTTCTCAGTCTTGTCAGCTGTAGTCAATTTTTTATTTGCCTTCATTCTGTTAGTTTGTAAATTAATGAAGTGCTTTTATCAATTTTACAAATTCAACTTGCTTTTATCAATATTACAAATACAACTGACTTTTATCAATATTACAAAATCAACTGGCTTTTATCAATACTACAAATTCAAATGACTCTTATGAATATTAAAAATTCAGCTAGTTATTTAGAATATTGAAAGTCTCTTTTTTTGTTCACCTAGAAAAAGGCTATGATGAGCTGCTCCCATCACTTTTGGTTAGTCTCATTTTAATCATCTTCTCTGAATGAACTGAACCAATAAAGATGACACTTTGTTGTTTGAATGAATGTGTGCATCATCCTTTATAAAAAAAGATATTTTTGTTCCCATTAGATGAAAAACATAATATGAACACTACCTGGAAGCAGAAGAATTTTCAATAAGTCTCCAAAGATAAGTTTGCTATATCTTCTGTGTTTTCTCTGTTGTCTGTAAGTTGGCGGGCCGTACAGTTTTGCACTTGTTCCTCATTCCGCCATTGAGCAAGGAACAGTTATACATGCTTTTTTTCAAAACGCCTTCTCTTATTGAGCTGATTTTTAGTATGTGAGTCTAATATGATGAGTTACAGAACGAGTTTATGTTTGGTTTGGCTCAGTTGAATTTTGCCGAAATATCAGGCTTTGGAATTTCAACTCCTAAAAATGGCTTCAAGTTTTTTCGTGTTTGAGGCCATTTGTTTCGTTGCAACACATCTAGTTTTGTCTTTCATTTTCTTTCTGGCCACAAAATACACAGTTTTGTCAACAGTAGATTCAGGAACTGTAATTGGTATCTTCTTGCCGTACATGAGGTACTATGTTGGGGCTAGCTGTCACATGAAATATTTTTGTTGTTACATTGGGGTTCCAATGAATGATATTTTGGTGGCCTAAGAAGTTGTTGTAACTGCAAAATAACTGGTTACATCTTCATTCAATAACGCTCATTAACAAGAATGTGTCCATAGTACACTGATGCCCCACACACACAATCATTTTCTATGTTCAGTGGACCATTAAATTGGGGTCAAAACTCTAATTTGGCATTAAAATTAGAAAGATCATATCATAGGGAACACAATTGTACAAAGTTTCAATTTGATTGAACTTCATTAAAAACTACCTTAACCAAAAACTTTAACCTGAAGCGGGACAGACGGACAGACGAACGAACAGATGCACAGACCGAAAAAAACATAATGCCCCTATGTGGGGCATAACTAGGTTGGGCATAAAAATCTCATCAAAAATAGCAGGCTTATATTTTGTAAGCCAGAAGTGAGTTGAATATTATAAGGTACTGCAAGATTTACTATGACAACATGTTTTAGATAATGTATACCCATTCCCCAAAAGAGTAATCACCAGCCCCCTCATGGTATGAATATCCCCATATGAAAGTACATGTATATCAAAATCTATAAAAAGGAAATTGGTCACTTTTAACATTTGCTTTAGTAAGAATGAGTTCAGGTGAATGAATTTCATTTCTATATTTTAGCAAAATCAAAACTGAACTTGGGCAATTTCTGACATTGACAGAGGATATATCATCTGAATATCAGAAGGTAGTGATAAAAATATCTAGGGATGTTTTGATGGGTGTTTAAAAAAGTTAGTAAAGTTATACCATAAGTTGTAATTCCTGTTAGTAAAGAAGTAAGTCTGATAAGAAAGAGGGACACACAAGGTGTTTTTAAAATCGGTTAGAAAATAACTAGATCATGTAATGATATATTAATCAATAGAACAATTAGGTAATTGTCTCAAAATCATTGATTTGTGCTTGCCAACTTATATGATTTGGAATTTTTTTTTTCTTTTGAATGATTTTGATAGATATTTTTGTCAATGATTCAAGGTTATTGTACTCTTTACCTAGCTGTCAAATAAAATTCATATGTCATGTTTATATTATGTAACTTTGTTTTAAATTTCATTATAAGATTTACAATTGTTTGATCTGAAGTCTTATATAGATTTAAAAAAAAAGAAAGAAGTACCACAATTTTTATTGTTCAAACATATTACAGCTTTTTCCAGTAGCTATTTTGACATCATGAAATGGTATAAATATTTTACAAGCTGGTTTGAAAAGACTTGATACTGGTGAAGTTTTTTTTATATATGATGGTATAAATGGGCTTGATGAGCTGTTGTCATCATTTTTAATATGCAGAGGTGGATCCAGGGGGGTGTCACTGGGTGCATGTATCACTTATGATATATTTGTCATTTTATATCTAATACAAATGATTTTCCTTAATGCAATTAACTAGTTTAAATGTAATTACCAAATTTTCACCAACATTACTTTTTTTTCGATACTGTGATGCCAAAATCCAAATGATTTGTCATTTGTTCTAATTATTAACTCATAAATCTTATACCCCAACCTTTTCATATTTCCTTCCAATTTTGAATTTTTTAGAAGTTTTTGATCTTTTAAAACTTCAACTTGTTTGGCAAGTGGACTTTCTTCCGAAGAAAAACTGTGGTGGTATTTCTGTCAAAATACAAAAGAAACATTTTTAATGTCAGCTACAGTAACTACCGGTAAAAGCATTAAGAAATGCAACAACAAACATCTTCAACATTCTTAAAATTGTCTACACATATTAACCAGTTCTAAATGTGAGCATTCAAATAGTGAGCTCATGTTCCTGAAACTGTTTGACGTGCAAAAATAGGGGAGTAAGTAACTGATAAATCATCACTGAAGCACCTTCATTGTGATTCAGACTTTGACCTTGATAAGATACACTTTTGCTTGCAGACATAAAAGAAAAATAATGATGATGATGGATGACTATTTAACCTCCAGTGGGAAATAAAATTCATATTCAAGATGAGAACATGATACTGTGGATTCATTTATTTTCGTGGGTATCAATTTTCGTGGATTGCTGAATTCTTGCATATTCGTGGATATTTGATTTCACGGTTTTGCCAATCTCTGTATACAAAGCCTATTAAAAATATGCTATATGTTAAAAATTTGAATTTGTGGTTCACCTGTACCCACGAAACCCACGAAAATTGGTATCCAACGAATAATAATGAATCCACAGTATGTGATATACATATAAACCCAATAATGTTTGAACTAGACCTACTCACTAAGTCAGATTATTAATGTGTAAGTTCACAAGGGAACAGTCTACAGGAAGACATGTTAACCTACCCAGACACATTATTCTGACTCCAAGCCAATCAGTCTTTGCTTTTTCCCCTAAATGCTGTGTGTTTAACAGAGAAGCAGCAAATGCATATTTGCTAGTCTTTTGCTTGACCCCACTGTGGTTCAAACCTATGCTCTCCCCGAGCCTACCTCTGGAGCATCAAGCAGTCAAAGAAAAATGAAATAGGAATCAATTTTGTAAACCATGTGGTTCCATTTGTTTTGTTTCTACCTTAATGAACTTTTCAAAAACAATTATAGGACATGAGACATTGACCGTGTTTTTAAAAGGTTAAAATGACGGATTTGATCTTTTCCTTTCAATTTCTTCAGGGTGTGAAAACAATTGTTTTAATGCATACTTAATTTTATACCACATGGTTCTAAGGTTCATAGATCACTGTCATATAAATAAGGGAAATAGGGAAAATAGGAGATTTGTGTATATCATTTAATTTGATGTCCACAATATCAAAATGGGTCTTTTAAAGGTGGTATGTGTCCTTTTTTGTCTGTTGGGAACATCTGTAGCAGAAAGTAAGTAAAACTAATAAATAAATAATCTCTCCTGAAACCACAAAGCAAATTAAGATCCAATTTCACAAAAATCATATTTAGGGTTACAGGTCTTTTGTATGATATTTGTTTCTGCTTAATACCAACCAAAATGGCTACAGTTACTATAAAAAGAACAAAGTGAATTTAACAAATATTGGTGAAAGGATTCTGTTGTGGTGGTCATGATTTTATTTTGTGATAATACATTATCAAGCAATCAGTATTCAAAGCTTGAAAATCATGAAATGATTTATAAATATTAAGAAAAGCATGAAAGTGTGATATTGTTCAATTTCAGTATTTCAAATGAAAGATAGTTAAGTAACTGAACATATAAGTATTAATTTTTATACGCATTAGTTGTAGCATTAGTACATAGTGATGTGAGTGTACATCTATTTGTCTTTCTGCTTGTTTATATAAAAAAGAGCTATAAAAGAGAATAAATAGACAACTCTTCACAACAGACCAATTGACACAGAAACTAACAACTATTGGTCACCGTACCGCTTGTCCATTTGTTGCTCCATCAACATTTCGCATCAACAACTTGACCAGTACAAACAAGGAATTATTTGAATCTGGAATAATTTTGAATTCTGGAAAATTGATAAGAAATGTATGAGAAAAACTAACCTAACTAAATAGGGTTAGCTAAGGTGGGTTTAAGTTTAAAATATCAGTGAAAGTAAAATCAACCTTAGTCATGGACTATTTAGTTGGGTTAGTTTTTCTTATCAATTTTCCAGAATTCAAAATTATTTCAGATTCAAATAATTCCTTCTTTACACTGGATTATTATTGAAATCTCACTGTTCAGTTATATACCATGTAATGTGCTTTTTGTGCCTTTCTAATGACATTTTTATAAGAATGTTTAAAAAAAACAACTTTGATGTGATTTGCAATCTGTTCAAATAGGCCGTGTTATGTATTTTGAATATGATTTAAATATAATGCCTAATGGATCTGAAAGCATCTATCAATATCCATACAAATCTGTTTCCACTAATATATATAATTTATAACCTATTATTATACACCCACTTTAAAAAAGTGGGGGTATACTGTTTTACCTCTGTCTGCCAGTCATACCGTTTGTCTGTCCGTCAGTCCGTCCGTCTGTCCAATGAATATTTTTATTCCCATCTTTCTCAGGAACGTCATTACAAGGATTTTTGAAACTTGGTTTCATGGTTTATATAAGTCACCTATACCTTTACGGGACGTATTATGGTATACCGTCGACCGTCTGTCTGTCCGTCTGTCCGTCAACATGTCGGACATTAACTCAAAAAAGCTTTAACCAATATGTATGAAACTTTGGTGAATTGTTTATATCTATTGACGTGAGCTCCCTTTTGTTTTTTATAAATTTCAGATTTACCGTTTCTGAGTTTTGGGGTTATATTCATTAAAAAAGGGGGGATTTTCCGACAATAACTCAAGAATGCTTTCACCAACTTGTAAGAAATTTTGGTGAATTGTTTATATCTATTGACATGAGCTCCCTTTCGATTTTTATAAATTTTAGATTTTACGTTTCCGAGTTACAGGGTTTTATTCATAAAAAAAGGGTGATTTTCTAGTTTTCAGACAATAACTAAAAAATGCTTTCAGCAGTTCTCATGAAACTTTGGTGAATTGTTTATATATGTTGATGTAAGCTCCCTTTAGAATTTTATAAATTTTAGATTTTACATTTCTGAGTTATGGGGTTTTATTCATTAAAAAAGGGGGGATTTTCCAGTTTTTGGACAATAACTCAAAAATGCTTTCAGCAGTTCTCATGAAACTTTGGTGAATTATTTATAGCTATTGATGTAATCTCCTTATTGATTTTCATAAATTTCAAATATGACATTGAGAAGAAATTGAACTTTATTTGTTGATAGTCTGACAACAGATTTACAAAGTATTGCGCAACAGCACAGTGTATTGCACAACAGCAAGAAATCTTTAATTAAATATAAATTCAATTCATATAACCAATTTCAAGTTCTTTGACTACATTTATTCAGAAACCTATAATATGTCAAATATTTAATTACAATCCAAATTTAGACCTGTATCAAGCTTGAATATTGTGTAAATTTTTGCCCCAACTGTTCAGGGTTGGACCTCTGCAGGCGTATCCAACTGCACTCAGCGAAGCAGTTTATTGATGAAGTTGGAGTCCAATCAACTTGAAACTTAGTACACATGTTCCCTATGAAATGATCTTTTTAAGTTTAATGCCAAATTAGAGTTTTGACCCCAATTTAACAGCCCACTGAACATAGAAAATGATAATGCAAGTTGGGCATCTGTGTACTATGGACACATTCTTGTTTTTACCTATGCTGTGAGTAGTAGGATAACTATATTGCCACAAATTTTTTAAGGAGCATATAATTAATATTTGGTTAATAGAATCATTGCAAGGTTTAAATGTCAGTTTACCTGACCTTGACCTCTTATCATGGATGTTAAATCTCCGTTGTTGGGCTCTTTGCAGATACTTAAAGCAAAAAATCAACTAATTTTAAGAATAAAGAATGATTTTTAGGCAGGGGCAGATCCAACCATTTTTAAAGGGGCCGGGGGGTTTCCAACCATATGTCCCCATTCAAAAGCAATAATTGTCAAAAAAAAGAGGGGTTCCATCTTATATATTATATGAGATATCTTGAAGAATTAATAGTAAAACGGCTTGCCATAAGTGTTATATTTAATTGTAAGTCACTAAAAGATCTTATATTCAATTAACTGATTAAAAGACAATTACTTTTTATGTACTTTAGTTTAAGTGTAAATAATATATCCAAATCTTCATGTTAATAAGCAGGCCTTGAATAATTAAATAACAAAAGACATCCAAAACAATTCTTTGCTTATTATTAGCTAGAATAATTCATATCCGTTGACTGTATACTTTTTTATTTACTTAAAATAGGCATGACATGGACTTTCTCATATCCACACACTATGTACACAATTCAAAATCATATCTGTTTTAACACTCATTCAGAAAATATATAATGCCATTGTGCACCTCCTATCTTTGTTTTATATCCAAATTAATTTTGGTTATTTCCCTTATCGAATCAGGCACTTTCCAATGTCAAGGATTGGGAAAAATGTAAAAAATAAAATAATATCAAATTGGCACATATTTGCAAAGTGATCCAAATTTTCTCTAAAGAGCCTCTTTTTGTTATTGTTCGTTAAACTCTGACAACTTTTCAATACTTTTTGTCACTAATTAAAAAGTTGGCTTATAAATACTTGTCTAGGATAAACTCATTTGATATTTGAATTTATTGTATAGAATTTTGAACAGAACACCTTGGCCTACAGTCATAAAACTTTACTGAGTAAACATTTTGTGTTTGAAACACCAAATCCTATATTTTGATTTGTTGAAATCTAAGTCTGAGTACCATATTCATACTCCAAATTTTTATGACCGCAATGTCAGGCCAGACCAGTTATTATAATTGTCAGAGTAAATTCATTCATTGATGTAGTACTAAACCCATTCACCTTGTTTTTGTAGAGCCTGCGACTTCTGTCACAAAAAGCTCGACATAGGTATAGTGATTCAGCGGCGGGGGCAGCAGCGGCGTTAACTAACTTCTTAAAAGCTTTATATTTTAGAAGGTGGAAGACCTGGATGCTTCATACTTTGTATATAGATGCCTCATGTTACGAAGTTTTCATCTGTCTTCTGTCCATTGTCCTTGACCTCATTTTCATGGTTCAGTGACTACTTGAAAAAATAGTTAAGATTTTTTGTAATGTTAATTTCTTATTATGAGTAATAGGATAACTACAGTTTTCATTTGACCACGACCTCATTTCATGGATCAATGAACAAGGTGAAGGAGGTGGTTGAGTCCATATATCAGATACTTTAAGCAATAGGTCTACTATATTTGGTGTATGGAATAATTGTAAGGTGTACATGTCCAACTGGCAGGTGTCATCTGACCTTGACCTCATTTTCATGGTTCAGTGGTCAAATTTAAGTTTTTAAGTTTTGGTCTGTTTTTCTTAAACTATAAGCAATAGGTCAACTATATTTGTTGTATGGAAGGATTGTAAGGTGTATATGTCTGTCTGGCAGGTATCATCTGACCTTGACCTCATTTTCATGGTTCATTTGTCAATGTAAGTTTCATGGTTAAGTTTGTTTCTTAGATATACTATAAGCAAGAGGTCAACTATGTTTAATGCATAGATTGATTGTAAGGTGTGCATGTCTGTCTGGCATGGTTCATCTGACCTTGACCTCAATTTCATGGTTCATTGGTCAATGTTTAGTTTTCTTGCTTAAGTTTGTTTCTTAGAAACTATAGGTCAACTATATTTAGTGTATTGAATGATTGTAAGGTGTACATGTATTTCTCGTTTGGTTTATCTGACCTTGACCTCATTTTCTTGGATCATGTTAAAGTTTGTGTGATACATATAGTAAAGCTTTATATTTAGGACTTTCAACATAAAATCAATGGTTAGTAAAGAAGGTGAGACATTTCAGCATGTGCACTCTTGTTTTAAGGATGTACTTGTGTAGGTGAGGTTTAGGGATTTCAAATGATCTGACTCTTTGGTTTTTGTCCTGCGATACAGGGTACAATATTTTGCCCCATAACAACCGCAATCTTTTCTTGCTATTTTTTAAAATTAACTATCTTGAAAAGGAGATCCATAACCTATCAATGTTTTTAGCTTATTTTGTTCTTACATACTCCTCTGACTTATAGTATCATTTTTAATTTCTAGATTTTTTAATTTCACCTAAGTACATCCTTAATACATATATTTTTTATTAGACCAAATGATCAACTTTTTTAGTTACTTGAGCAAAATTAGATAATCATTTTAAAAGTAATTTAAAGATTACTAGAACTCAAACAGTATTAAAAAACAGTAATAAAATTTTGATCATCTATGTTTTGTAGTTATTGTCCGTAAAGTTCGTTACTTAGGTTACA